TATAGGCATTTTATTCATTTTACATTATACATTTTATTAATTATTAAATTTATTTTTATTAAGTATTTCATTAGTTACTAAGTTTATATTTAAAAATATTTTACTGGCATCAGAATGTATGTACTATTTCTTCTTCTTTAACTTGTGCAAATACTTTTGTAAGAGTATATTAATACCAATAAACAAACAAACAATTACCTAAACAAACATGATCATTAGTCCAGGCAAGTTAGACCAAAATCACCCAGAATACGGAAATTTTTTTCTGATGAACCGATCGAGTTGTGGTTTTCGGCATTATCTTATCTATATCAGGAAAAATGTTTATCTATTACACTTTGGAGCTGGATCGAAACTTCATTGCGGGTGCATAAAGTGCGTCTTGAAGTGCATCAATGTTTCCGAATTTCCTAAAAATGGTAAAAATTGACTAAAAGTTGTAGAAATTTGTGTGCACGGGTTTTCGGGGTCAGAGATTCCGAATCTGATCCTGAAAAATAAGCTCGATGGCCCTGGGGCCCCCTAGGAGCACGGGGGGCCTTCTGTAAAACATCGAATAGCTGAGTAATTGCCTGGAATTACATGCACAATTGCATGTACAGATTGTTTTGGAACCAACTGTTCCAATCCTGAAATAGTAGAAAATGTAATAAATGATAGTGATGGAGACAGTGATGACAGTACTGATGATGAAAATTGTGATTGATAGTGAAAGTGTTAGAAAAACATATGATAGTAGTTGTCTCACTAATTACCTTGCAAATAAAAAGAAAATTGGTTCTCAGAATAAAAGGGATTCTTTTTGACTCATTAATTTCCTGTTAATTTTCCTTACCCTTCTTGTCTAATCTCTGTAAATTTACGTGTGTTACAATGTAAAGATGAGCCTACAAGATCATGGTTGGTAAGCAGGTGGAGCAGTTTTATTGCAAAAATCTGATGTGCCTTTCGATATTTTCCAGAAAGACCACTCCACGGGCGTCGGCCATACTTTTCAGTATCAGAATCGGAATCCCCGATCCTGAAAACCCTCGAGTGGAAATTTAGAAGGCAATTACTCAGCTATTCGATGTTTTACAGAACGCCTCCTTGCCCCCCTGGGGGCCCCAGGGGTGTCGGGCATATTTTTCAGGGTCAGATTCAGAATCTCCGACCCCGAAAACCTAATTTCTACAACTTTTAGTCAATTTTTACCATTTTTAGAAAATTCGGAAAAATTGATGCACTCCAAGATGCACTTTATGCACCCGCAATGCAGTTTCGATCCAGCCCCTAAGTGTAATAGATAGACTTTTTCCCTGATATTTTTCAGAAGACAATGCCGAAAACTGCAACTCGATCGATTCATCAGAAAAATTTTTCTGATTTATTGTCTAACTTGCCTGGTCTACATGTAATATCCACAGTTTAATTTTTCTCAAATAGTTGCTCCTTGGTTATCGTCCGTCACATTTCATTCATTTATATAAAATAACCATTGATCTAGTAAGTAATTCTACATTTTTACAAACACGTTTTTGTAAGTGTAGAGATTCTTCTTTTTACAATTAACACTTCTGTAAATAGACATGTACGGCAGATAAAAAAAAGAAGCTTCCAGTGCAATGAGTAATGGTACCAAATTAGATATACTGCGTGAATTTGAAGAAAACTTGCATAGTTCAAGTCGACAAACAGCTTCAACATATTCCTTAAAATGAAAATAATGAAAAGAAAATAAAATGCATCCCTATAAACTGACTAAGGAGCTTAATGAGGACGATTCTGATCGATGAAACCATTTTTTTTTTAACAATAATGATGCAAAGGTTAGATAACAATGGTATCCAACTAGAAAATGTTTTGCTTTCTGGTCTCTTCACGGCCATGTTAATCGTCAAAACTGTCGCTACTGGATGGACTAATGAAAATCCTCACTGGATGAGAGAATTACATTTGCAGAATCTTTAAAAGGTAAATGTGTGGGTGGGGATAATTGGTTCCTTTTTTCATTGATGACAAGTTGAATGAAGATACCTAATTATTAACTTCTGCTCCAAAATAATGTATCAACTTTCATAAACTTATATCTTGCTCAAGCAAACCCACACGTTCCAGCCTATGTGATATAGTTCCACCAGGATAGAGCACCACTTGGATTTAACAGTTCCAAATTGAATAGCCAGCGCGTTCTCCTGGCCTTACACCCCTAGATTTCTTTCTACGTGAAAATTATGGTATACAAAACTAAACCACGTGATATAGCTGACTTCAGAAGAAAAATAACTGTTGTGGTTAGGTCGGTCATGCCTCAGATAATGGAAAACGTTAGAAGTTTTAGTATTGGGATGCTACCAAGATGTTCAAGGAACTCATTTTGAACGTTAAAATGAATTTTATTTTTAGTTTGCTTTAGCGAATTTCGTCAAGCAGATAAATTAATTTTTTTAATGCTAATTTTTGCAATAAATATTAAAACCATTTTTTGAATAGAGAATGAAAATACCTTTCAAATGAGATGCACAAGCCCTTACTACCCATTTAAAAATTTAGGGGTTGCAAATGCCACTCGAAAGGGGTTCAATTTAGGGATGAAATTTTTACATTGCAAGACCCAAAATCGATGTGTCTCGGGATTTCTTTATTCATTTG